GCTGGTGTACAGGACAAAGCTTAACAATACTATATTAAATTGAATTTGTCCTTATCACATATTAGAGAGATCACATGGGCAGTTCATTGTGTTTGTAGAATCTCATCATTGCCAAATTCAATTTTGATGACTGATATTGTTTGGGTGACTCACAGCAATAAAAGTCTTGAAGGTTTGGGAGCGAGAAGCAAGTGATGTTTCAGTCGGAAAAGATTCAGCTCTTTGACTGCATTCCGACAGCCATGTTATTAATGGTTAACAGGCATTTGCAATTGGTTACAGTCTGTTTTATGAAAGAAGTGCTGTTAAATAAATATTTTCTATCTCATTGATGATGCAAACGTCAACAAAATCACGATCTAAAATAGATTCGATGCCGGAAATTGTATTTTGAACCAACGGCATAAGCCGGAGATTTTACATATTAAAATTTCATACATCGAGTATTCAACAACACCCGGAATTCCAATTCCGCTGTGTTTATCGAGAATATAAAATACAAAAATGATCATTTATTTTTCTCGCAATCCTGTGTGAACTTTCACACTAGTGAAACTGACATTGCGGAATGCTTGACATCATGATACAAGGTATGCTTCCGTGATAACTGAAACTATACTCTCATTCGTTTTACAATTTGGCTTTTGACGATATACCATCGTGTTTCTGCTGTTGTTTGTAACAGCGCCTTCGTTCAGATAATGCTACATCAACTCCCATAACATATAGAAAATAGAGTGGGTAAAATAGTGGTTGACAATATTTGCTGTGTCATCAAGTAGAAGGCTGTTTATTGTGCTATTAAGTACCTTATTCTGTTCTGATTCATTAACAGTTTTCGCAAAGGAATTTCTTTGGACACTGTTGCAATAGTGAGATGTCTATTTCGCCACGATTGCAAAAGTATGATGTCTATCACTATACTGTTGCAATAGTGACATCTCTATTACGAGAGAAATCGCAATGGTTGCAGCAGCTCTCTTTAAACGCTTTTGCACTCCGCATGGTTGTATTGCACAAGTTGGACCTCTATTACGACACTCCTGAAATTGTGAGTTCCTATCACGACACTATTGCACGACGCAGAGCTCTATGACGACACTATTGCACAAGTTGGACCTCTATTATGACACTATTGAAATTGTGAGTTCCTATCACTACACTATTGCACGACTCAGAGCTCTATGACGACACTATTGCACAGGTTGGACCTCTATTATGACACTATTGAAATTGTGAGTTCCTATCACTACACTATTGCACGACGCAGAGATCTATGACGACACTAATGCACAAGTTGGACCTCTATTATGACACTATTGAAATTGTGAGTTCCTATCACTACACTATTGCACGACTCAGAGCTCTATGACGACACTAATGCACAAGTTGGACCTCTATTATGACACTATTGAAATTGTGAGTTCCAATCACTACACTATTGCACGACGCAGAGCTCTATGACGACACTATTGCACAAGTTGGACCTCTATTATGACACTATTGTAATTGTGAGTTCCTATCACTACACTATTGCACGACGCAGAGCTCTATGACGACACTATTGCACAAGTTGGACCTCTATTATGACACCAGTGAAATTGTGAGTTCCTATCACTACACTATTGCACGACGCAGAGATCTATGACGACACTATTGCACAAGTTGGACCTCTATTATGACACTATTGAAATTGTGAGTTCCTATCACTACACTATTGCACGACGCAGAGATCTATGACGACACTATTGCACAAGTTGGACCTCTATTATGACACTATTGAAATTGTGAGTTCCTATCACTACACTATTGCACGACGCAGAGATCTTTGACGACACTATTGCACAAGTTGGACCTCTATTATGACACTATTGAAATTGTGAGTTCCTATCACTACACTATTGCACGACGCAGAGATCTATGACGACACTATTGCACAAGTTGGACCTCTATTATGACACCAGTGAAATTGTGAGTTCCTATCACTACACTATTGCACGACTCAGAACTCTATGACGACACTATTGCACAAGTTGGACCTCTATTGTGACACTATTGAAATTGTGAGTTCCTATCACTACACTATTGTACGACGCAGAGATCTATGACGACACTATTGCACAAGTTGGACCTCTATTATGACACTATTGAAATTGTGAGTTCCTATCACAACACTATTGCACGACGCAGAGATCTATGACGACACTATTGCACAAGTTGGACCTCTATTATGACACCAGTGAAATTGTGAGTTCCTATCACTACATTTTTGCACGACGCACAGCTCTATTACGACACTTTTGCACAAGTTGGACCTATAGTTTGAAATTGTGAGTTCCTGTCACTACACTATTGCACTACTCGTAAACACAGAAGAGATGAGACGTTGTCACTGCTTGCTTCCAGTTTTCAAAACTCTGGAAGACAAAAGTGGATCCGTGTTCACCAAAGTAAAACCCAACTTGGCAAGTTAACTTTGCTTGACCAATGTTAGAACATGATAACTGATTTACGTCATACTCCGATTGACCTAAATTGCCCATTCCTATGGAGCATCGTTGCTGCTGTAGTCCACGTGACTCCATTGTTCGAGTTAATTAGTTTCATTTATTGATGAATATTATTAACTAGTTATGGATAGTACATGTATGTTTTCTGCTATGCGTCATGGAAATTTAACTTTCGATATAAATACTTTAGTTTCACTCATGCAACTTTGTACATAATTTAAATCTGTTTGATGTTATAAGCACAATTATCAGTTTTCTTGTCGTTTTACTTGCATTTGATAGAAAAGGTACAATGGCAGCTTTGTCAAGTAATGAAACACGTGTTACCCTCTCATAGTTATGTGTTATAGCAATTCACATGGTGGTTGTGTTTCTCCTTCTCCTGGTAATATATCTAAGCTTACATTTAAATAATTTTATTTCGGATACTGCTTGATTAACATTGATTACCTCAGGTGGAATCTAGTCAACCCAGGTTGCCAGAAATGTAGTAACCTCGGTTGACTTAGGTCAGTTATATTTTAATGGAATGGACGTAATGCATTTGGATGAGATGCACGACCCCATATATTTGCAGTGTGACGGGTGTGCCAGAAATGTAGTCACCTCGGTTGACTTAGGTCAGTTATATTTTAATGGAATGGACGGAATGCATTTGAATGAGATGCACGATCCCATATATTTGCAGTGTGACGGGTGTGCCAGAAATGTAGTCACCTCGGTTGACTTAGGTCAGTTATATTTTAATGGAATGGACGTAATGCATTTGAATGAGATGCACGATCCCATAAATTTGCAGTGTGACGGGTGTGCCTTTGCACAACAGCAGCTTCAAAGGTTTGGGTCATGGAGCAGATGTTCTTGGCTCATAATGCATTGCTTGACTTGTGGTGGATGGTTTGATGAATAGTGAAGATACTGGTCGGTTTGGGTTCAACTAAGGGTGTCACTGATCTGATCGTTCTGAACTTTTACAACTAGGAAACGAAATTTGTGAACTGCATCCGTGGGTATTGGGTATTTAGTTGGTTGAGGAGGATGTATTGGTGTTGAAAAGCTTTGAGAATGATAAAGGTATCATCGACTTATCCGATCCAGTAGAGAGCGGCGATAGGTGATGTCAGTCTTGTGTACATCGACGTTGATGGGGAGAGAGACGATGTCATGGGGACGCCATGTGAGGTAGGGTGGGCTGATACAGGAACTGATGAGTCTGATGATAACGTCTGAGGAAGGTGGGATATAGGTTGTCAAGGAGATCTGAGAACTATTCTCCTGGTCTTCTTCTCTAGATGGCGTCGTACCTGATGACGGTACCTTGATGGTCAATGGTACTGATAACTCTTCAAACTTCTGTTGATTCATTTTTAAATAGATTTTATTCCATTTCCAAGTTCATGTTAACAAATATATAGAGTGGGTAAGTACAATCGAGGTAAAAGACATTATAAAAAAACACTTTTAATGGAAAGCCTGTATACATTGTTGGAAGTAGAAAAAATATTTTATGAACGCTTCATAACTATGGACAGTTGGTTTGGTTGGTTTAGAATCTCGCCCTGAAAATGAATATGTTTAAAGACGTAAATTCATTTGTCTGAACATGGTCCAAAATCCAAATGTTAACTAAAGGTACAAAATGACGTCGACGTGTGATATTTTGGACTAATTATTTGATTGTCATATGCATTGCAATATGTATTGAACTCAGATATTCGCTCTAATTAATTAATTTTCCTACTGAACAAATGAAACTGACATTTGTATTTTCAACAACAACCATTCACAAGTTTCGATCTCAACGTAAGTTCATAAAGATTTCTTACCGACAAACTTGGAAAGACGTACACCAAAGTTTCGAATGAGAGAATTAAAGTCATCTGAGGCGGTATTAGCATAAGCGCTTCGCTTGTTTACCAATCCATTTTCACACTTTTGTGAAAATAAATTTGTTTAAACCAAAGTTACCTAGTTGTTCCGAAAAATAGAAGTAACCGAGGCTCGGCTGTTCTTAATTTGATTTAGGTCAAGTTAAAGATCAATGGTTTTTGACAAAGATACGTCCTCACACAAAAGGTTGCCCACTGTATCATAAATGACAAATTGTATAAACGGGTTTCAGTTACACGATCATCAGGTCAATGCACATACAATTTACCTTCATGAATGCTGTATCTACATGTATGGTTAGTTCTACATGTTTAGATTTACATTTCGGCAAACTTCAGAATGGAATTATGTCAGCATTTTAATGTACATTATAACTGAATATACAAAGAAAAGTTCATAAATGGTAGCAGATGATATGTATCAAATAGTGTTACTCAAGTTAAGTCTTGTGTGAGTGAGTGAGTGAGTTGGGTTTAACGCCGCTTTTAACAGTATTCCAGTTATATCACGGCGTGTCAGCTTAATGTGGGAGGAAAGCCCGAAGTGATGCAGGTCTCAGACGTTTACCACTTCGGTGAAACCCACGAGCACGGGTATGGTGCTGACAAACCTAGAAACATAATCGGGGCGAACCGGGATTCGAACCCACAATCATAGGTTTCTGGCGTGCCCAAGGGACGCAACTCTGCACAGCGAATCGCGGTGAAGTCTTGTATGAATAAAGAACTAATCGGAACTGTTGAAAATCCTCGCAGCATAATATTCCTTCGACGGCGTGGAGGTACAATGGCTCACGGAAATGACACGTCGCTGTATAAGTGCAATAATCTTGGACGCGACGTTAAACCCCATTTCATCTCACCCACAGAAATGATAGGGTTGGCCGTTATGATCTTGATAACTCTCATTCATGATACCGCCTGAGAAAGAAAGGGATATAGGTTATCAAGGAGATCTGAGAACTATTCTCCTGATTATGGGATGGTCTTCTTCTCTAGATGGCGTCGTACCAATAATGACCACGACTAAAACTATCATTACTCGATGTATCATGTGTGAGTAGAACAAGCGAGAGAACCTAAGGGATGAACCGAAGACATCTTTGATGTTTGCAAACTTTACCCAGCCCAATGTCGGTGGACATAGTCACATTCATTAACAGGGTCGACGTGATGTGCACGTGATACGAACATTTCACCGTTCACCCCACACACAAGAAAAACAAGGCAAATTTGAGTAGAAAAGAACTCATTTAATCATGCCAATGTCAAACAGAATCAGTGGCTCCGTCTCCGCACTTTGCAGTCGAACGCCAAGACATAACCATTAATAGAATGATTTTTCTTTTTCATTTAAGTCCATTCACTTTGAAAACATGCATATTTACTGCGAATTTTGAATCTATTAAATAAGTTATTTGGAAAAGATTCATTAACTTATGAATGTTAATTAAAACTGCCCAGGTTACTTTACTTGAACCTGTTAAAATTAAAAACATTATAACTAAAAAAGGAACATGGAATAACATGGCTATCGATAAAAGGTAATCGTACTGTACACTATGTATTTGTCATGACCAAGGTGATGACTACCATTATATATTTTATGTGTCCATTGGAACATAATGAATTTCTACATATCTGCATATAATAGTATGTAAATGATCTCTTTGTTAGAACCCCATAGAATTCAGTGAAAAGTAGCAGCAGTCGACAAGCTGCGCATGCGTCACTTTGGGCTTCCCTCACACAATACGCTGACACATCGCGATAAAGCTCTGATAAACTGTGGAATACTTTAAGGGACATTCTCGCAATCTCGCAAGTTCACACTTTGGGCATATTTAGCTTGCTTCCAAAGGTCGTCATGGCGATAATACGCGATTCCGAGAATGTCCCTCACAGCATTCCATATCAAACGACGTTAAATCTATTTCACAAAATCTCACATATTTATGACAAGTAGAACTGTTTTAAAAATATAATCAAATATTTGTTTAAAGAAATCTACCAATCGATCACCCAGTAAAAAAGCACAAATAAACTTCACACATAGTACCGAAGCCGGGAATCGAACTCGTCCTTTCGCCGTGACGAGCGAACGCTTTATCTACACGGCTACCCAACGATCATGGGAAAACCTCAAGTGATACCTTTACAAATCGAGGCGCATAGTTGTTTACGACGGGTACTTTCACATAAGTCGGATCCGAGTTCTGGTAATACTCGGTCTGGGGTTGCACTTTCCCCGTCGGGTTACAACCGCCGCAGTCGTTGTACCACCAGCCAGACTGATGTATTTGTGCGCAGTTTCCGCCGGCGTTGAGGTCGTTGTCGCGGTCGATGGTGGTGAACAACATTTCTCCCTGGTGCTCCAAGCAGTTGCCGAGTTCATGAGAGACATCGCTGTGTGTGTAGGCACTCACATAGGAAGCCTTGTAGCCACTCGCTTCGTCAGATATCTGGAGAGTAATCAGAGATTTTGTAGTATGAGTTGGTTGGATGGTTAGTTGTTTTACGCCGCACTCAGCAATATTCCAGCTATGTGACGGCGGTCTGTAAATAATCGAGTCTGGGCCAGACAATCCAGTGATTGACATCATGAGCATCGATCCATGCAATTGGGATCAATGACATGCATCAACCAAGTCAGCGAGCCTGAACACCCGATCCTGTTAGTCGCCTCCTTTTAACAGTGGAGTTGGAAAAATACTTCTTGCCTCAGTATGAAAACAGATTGTTGAAGTTTCTTATTACTGCTGTAGCGAATCTGTGTTTCAGCCGTAATATATAATTTCAAAGTGTGTTAGTAGTTAACCCAATTCTGAGATTGTGATTTACTTTCCTGGATTCAAAATGAGTGTCCTAATTTGTTTACTTCTGAAACGACCAGCGACCCGGAACTACTTTCAAGGACTTTCCCGGTGACCTTGCGTATCATTCGTCACCACTCGCCCCTTTCCGTAACCTGCAAGGAGACTCGTCGCCCTATCGATGAATGTTATGTGCGAAAATACGACAAACCAATCAGAATGCGCGTTTCATTTCAAGTTGTTCATCAAAGAATCCCTCAGAAATAATTTTTGATTTTACATTTGTCTTGCATCTAAAAATATACCCAAGACACCAATATACAAAGTTAAATGTGTTCAATCATACTGTATAATTCCGCATGTCAAGATGTGCTATAAATTGCATCTGAAATGTATATAATATATGGGGAAATATATGTGAACCATTACGCAACGAGTTGACAATTGTTTTAGGTATGCCCGTTTGCGCTAAGACGGAGCCCGGTCGCAAAAATGGCTATGAGAGGGGCACGAGTCGCTATTCGGCTTGTCGAACACGATTTGGGTACGAATGCTTGCGTATTAAACCACCTTGTAACATTTGCAACGATTTCTAAAACAAGTATCGGGAACTCCTTGTATTCAACTGACATAAAAACAACGAAAGGCCTTATTATGAACAATCAATAAATAATTTTTTTATTTCCGATCAGGATAGATTAATTTTATTTCCATGACATGACAACCACAGTGCAGTCATTTTTCTGCTCCAGCTCCTTCGTATAAACAGTGAAAAAGAACTATGTATAATACATGTTTACAAGAAAGGAGTTGATTCTTTGGAATAGATATAAACTATATATGTTTTCGTCATGTCCTGCACACACGAAGCTGCTCTTGAAGTTATTTAAAACTGCATATATCCCACTATGTATTGAACGTTGTTATGAGTAGGAAAGTATGCATCGATTAAAACCGGGCGTTATAACATCTTTGTGTGTACGCAATCAAGAGCCGTTAAATATTGTTAAGACTGTTAAAAAATATTCACACAGTTACATGCATCAAAATTAATTGATGCTTTCAGCATCAGAACTTGGTTTCGGAAGATTCTTGATACGTTCATGTATGTTTTTCACAACATATGTGATATGGTTTTTGATTGTTTGTTTGTTGTTTAACGCCGCACTCAGCAGTATTCCAGCCATATGACGGCGGTCTGTAAATAATCGAATCTGGACCAAACAATCCAGTGATTAACATCATGAGCATCAATCCACGCAAATGGGATACGATGACATGCATCAACCATGTCAGCGCGACTGACCACCCGATCCCGTTAGCCACCTCTTTCGACAAGCATAGTCGGCTTTTACGGCAAGCATGGGTTGCTGAAGATCTATTCTACCCCGGATCTTCATATGTGATATGAAATCATTCTCATATCCACTTAACTACAAAAGAAATGTTTTGGCCGAGACATTAAAACTGGCTCCACTGTGTTGAAAAACCAACATATTTTTAAACGCTTCTTCTGTACTTATAACCAGCATATCTCTGCACTTGTACACAGAATAAATATAAGCGACCCTTTCCATATTCATTGGAAATCTCTGCTAAAAGCAGAGTCGATTGTACGATTCCGACTATATCCTAAGCATGTGTTTATGAATCAATATCAACGAGTGATGGTACCAGGTGTTCGCGAAAAGTGAGCGTATCATGCCCCACATGTGGCACCCGTCACAAACACATGCAAAGGTAAGACAATTGTTCACTTGAAAAAAACGCGGAACAAATTAAAATAGGGAATTGCCCCGGACATCACATTTTTGTCACTGACGCGTCAAATTTGGAAATGTCCTCCAAATGTCCACCATAAAACTTTCTGAAAGCTCCACTGTGGCCTTGAGTGTTGTAACCTTGATCAACTTCTTCTGAGAAAGAGTCGTATGACGCTCTTTGAAATCTTGGTAGAAAGAGCATGCTCTATTGTATCTCAGAAGTTGTGAAATGTAAACACAAAAGGCTGGATCTGCTGGAATATTGCTCGACATGAAGGGAAAGTTGACTATTGGAAAGTAGAAGTTATCCCTCTTGTCATACAGTCTTATGGAGATTGTTTTGCCACTCTGAATCTTTATGCATAAATCAGAATATGAAACAGACGAGGCGGTCTCACTGATCTCTTATTTCTAGTTCAGGTGGGTAAATCAGTGGAAGGGAATTGGCTACATGATGGTTATTGAACGATATTAGATCATCGATTTACTTGAAGCTGAAGTTACCCTGTTTTGACTTGTCCTGAACCTCTGAATATAGACAAGCAACTTCGTCTGTGTTAACCGCGTTTTGTATCAAAAGCCCCATGGATCAAGGAAGGAGGTTTTCCCTGAAGTTTGTCACTAGGGCTCGTTGTGTACAAAGTTGAAAAATCAAATGTTTTGACAGAATGGAACTTGGTTCTTTTCTGAGATTGTAAAACATCAAGCAAATCCTTTGAGTTTTTGTGAATCCATATGATATTAATTTCACGCGGAGCTTTGGAATCCAGTACAAAAGAGGAATGGACATGACTTCAGGTTTTAGACTCAAGTCAAATGTTGACAGTACTGATGAGTGGTTTTGGCTGATTTCTTCCTCAGTTAACATACTGGCCTGATATGTGGCATTATTTGATAAGCTATTTATACCTAGTTCTTTGATCAAACAATTAATGTAGTGATGCTTTCATATGATGGTTGTGTTATTTGAGTCCTTGAATGTGGGAACAACTACAAACTTTTCATGTAGGACAGCCAGACATTGGATGACAGCTGGCTGAGGCAGACTGGGTTTATTCCAATTCCGTTTCCTCTTTTTAAGTTGTGATCCCAATTGGTAACTGACGAAGGTTGTTGTCAACAATAATAGAGAAGTCACCTGTTATTAAAAGACCTACAGATTGATAGCAGAATGATGAGTTTTAGCAGACGCAAGTAGTGAAATTTACACCATGCGCTGCCAAGCCCAACACGTTCCTATCATTGATCAACCTTGACGTGATTCATCATTAACACGCCGTTTTTAGTGTCAACAACATCAGTAACTGTACTATCGTGTGCCTGGATGTCTGGTCCATCACTTGACTGTGTGAGTGGTAGGTGCTACCGGTAAGGCAGGCCAGTCGTGCTAACACCTGGTGTCGTCACTGATTTTCAGTGATCCATTCGTATAGTTTCCAGCGCTGTTTTGCCTTTTATGCCCAATGGTGAGGTGAGGTGAGGTGAGGTGAAATGGGGTTTAACGTCGCGTCCAAGATTATTGCACTTATATAGCGACGTGCATGTACGTGTGTGTGTTTGTGTGGCTGCTTGTACTAGTCCGGACTGATGCCGATTTATAGTGCTAGCTCACTGAGATACCATGCCGCAGTTTAACATGAATACCCCACTCAGACACAGTATACTGACCCCGAGCCGACCAGTCCTTGTTTTAGCCCCTTAATGCCGAGCGCCAGACAGGGTAACAACAAGTCCCATCTTTTAACGTCTTTTGGTATGACGCGGCCAGGGATCGAACCCCGAACCTTCCGCTCTCCGGGCGGACGCTCTACCACTAGACCACGGAGGCGGTCTTTACGCCCAATGGAATCAGCCTCGTCGGAGGGGTATACAAACTACGCGATCGAGACGACCAGTTGTCCATTTTGTGGCAGCCTTTGTGGCTGAGTGGGTAAGGTCTTTGCGTGCTGGCGATTATGTTCCTTACTCTGGAAGTGTGGGTTCGAATCCCGGATTTGTACTTTAGTAAGAAGGTGAAATCCCAAACAATAAGAACTACTTAATATTATCACTTTATAATAGGCATTGTTTTTTTCTTGCTCAAAAGCTGTTTGATCAGGGATGCAACATCCAAGGCTTTAGCAAAGTATATTTCTTAAAAACACAACACCACGATAGTTACCAGTTGATATATAGAATTCTCGACAGTCGATTGTAGAACTGTGCTGATACTTTTCTTTAGCATTAATGATCATTCTATTGACATCTGTTGTTGCAGGTACAATGGAGTCAGTAATTCCAATAACGCGGTCAATCTAGATCAAAGAACGTTTTCCGTTCCTTTGATTTACTCACATGAACCAGAAATAAAAAGAGGAAGCTGTTTCGTTTTTAGATCTACGTGTATGCATAATGATTAAACGTGACAAAATAACTTCCAACACGACACGAAGAGGAATGACTTCAACTCTCCGATAGGCATCTTCCCCTTTATGTCGAGCAATAATCCAGCTGGCCCTGCCTTTATGTCGAGCAATAATCCAGCTGGCCCAGCCTTTATGTCGAGCAATAATCCAACTGGTCAATCCTTTAAGTCGATCAATAATCGAACTACTCCAGCCTTTATGTCAAGCAATAATCCAACTGCTCCAGCCTTTATGTCGAGCAATATTCCAAATGGTCCAGCCTTTATGTCGAGCAATAATACCAACTGTTCAATCCTTTAAGTCGAGCAATACTCCAACAGATCCAGCCTTTATGTCAAGCAATAATCCAACTGGTCAATCCTTTAAGTCGAGCAATAATCCAACTGCTCCAGCCTTTATGTCGAGCAATAACCCAACTGCTCCAGTTTATGTCGAGCAATAATCCAACTGCTCCAGCCTTTATGTCGAGCAATAATCCAAC